TCTGACATTTTAATCTAAACAACATTCTTGAATTTCAGCAATGGGACTGACTTAGCAGATTTATCTCTACATAAACATGAAATATGTTTGTAAAATAAGATATTATGGATTGAGTTCTCAACCGAAGCGAAATGTAATACCACTCCTGCAGGAAAACAGTCGCAGACCATTATTTGTAATGACTAAGAGACTGTTGAGACAAGAAGCCACTATTTCAAGGGGGTCAGATAACATATGCCACGCATCTATTGGACAGTCAGATGGATTTACTGATTTGATTGCAATAATTGCACCGGTTACCAATCCTTCACATAGTATGATAATCAATATACTTTTTTAAAGCTATATTTAATGTGGACATAATGATTACATGTCTGCTCTGACTAATTCACTTAATTTGCTCAATATAAGCCTCATCTGGAAGAATTTGTGGAACATGTGACAGATCATCTTCTGTCTTACTTGGGACTCAAATTCAAGTACTGCTCAGGCACCCAGCTGCACTGTTCTAGTCTTCTAAGAATGTCTCCAAGAATATTTAACAGATTAGCAAGTCATGCCAAGAAAAGCCTGCACGCTCCTTAATGGGGCTTTATATATCCAGCAATATCATAGCTGCTCAGGAGCCTAGTGGATGTTGTAACAATACAAGACAGCGCGGCACTGCTGGTTTTGATTTTGCTGATACAAATATCCACATTTGTAAGCCACTTTGTTTAACTGTCATTTTTGGCCAGGTCGCTTCTGAAAAATAAATGAATACCTCAGTGGGCTTTGCCTGATAGGATGGGGATGGCTTAGTTGTATTTGTATGTTTTTGGGTGATTTGTTTACCTTTCTTGTACTTTGCACTTACTATCGTGTTTTTGTATTCTTTGTTGTTGTAACGTTCTTGCCTGCCCCTACTGGATATCTGTGAAAAATAGATGTATAGCTCATCGAATTCATCCACTATAAATACACATTATAATTCTGTTTCACTGCTTGCTGTGAAATTGCCCGCTCGCCTCGAGCAGGCCGCAGTCTAACGTGAGTGGTGGCACCGTGACGTTGTCGCGCAGGCATCCGCGTGGGCATCGTGCAGTACAGTCACGACGGCACATTCCAGGCCATCAGCATGTCTGACCCTGACATCAACTCCCTGTCCTCGTTTAAAACGGCTGTGAAGAACCTTAAGTGGATTGCTGGTGGCACATGGACTCCCTCGGCCCTCAAGTTTGCTTACGATAAGCTGGTGCACAATGGGAAAAGAGCTAACGTCAAGGTGCGTGACCATCTGCTGCTTTGCAGAATGTGTCCTTATCTAAGGGATGCTGCTATGGTGTACTGGTTATCACAACAGAAGTGATATCCAGAGGAGCAGATAAACTGTTTTATTCGTTTGACTAATCCATACAAATATTCAGATGCAATAGACTACGTGACATGTCATTACTGAGCAATAGCACTTTCATTGAGCGAACATTTCATGACTTAAGCATCAACAATGTTTTAAATGTTATTACTTTGTGTACGTGATATAAAAATTGTTAACAAATTAATTTCCTTCAAAAAGTTATCAAAACTAGAGTTAAAAAGAGGTGGTTCATTAATTCTGTATTGTAGGACTCAACAACATTTTGCTTGATAATTTTGCTTGCTTCATGAGGTCGGTGACATGGCTCAGCAGTGGTGCATTCGCCACTTGTTTTAAAGGATTGTAGTTTAAATCCCGAAGGCCAACCTGAATAATCTTGCAGGTATATTAAACGTAAAATACATCTGCTTTAAAGTGGGTGTTAAAGATTCCATTTCGTCATTTATAAAGAGAAGGCCATTATGTATGACGCTATCTTGGGCAAAATTTGCCAAATTCAAAATAGCAATCGTCATTCCATACTGGCAGTCTAGTGCCCACTTACAGGCTGCCACTGAGTTACCTTGTGCCACACAGAGACAAGCTGTGCTCCAAAACTTTTCTTACATGAAGAGCACAATATAAAGGCAAACAATATTTTATTAAATATCCTCAGTCTTCCTTGATGTTTTTTCTCACATTGGTGCACAGGTGTTCGCGATCGTGATTACCGACGGGCGGTACGACCCCCGTGATGATGAGAATAGGCTCACGTCACTGTGCGGTGCTGGTGTGAGCGTCAACGTGCTGGGCATTGGAGACATGTTCCAGGAGAAAGCCAACACAGAGAGTCTCTTGTCCATTGCCTGCAACAACCCTAACCATGTCAAGAACATCTCCCTGTTTACTGATCTTTTAGCAGAGGAATTCCTTTCAGAAACAGAGCACCTCATCTGTCCTGGTGATGCATCCCATCCCATCTGACAAATACACAATATTCGTCACCAACAGTGAACATTTTCTAATTGCATGCTTTTGATTATGATGACCTCTTCTGTCTGACATAAAGAATGAACATAGAGTTTATGTACGTTCAAATCCTGGTTGGGAGTTGACTCAGCCTATAATCATTCCTCTAGGGTGGATAACATAGTTACCACTTTGTGAAGATGTCAACAGTAGTTGTCCTATGGGTAGACCTGCCCCTTCCATAAGAATGTGGAATTACCACCACTGGCTCAAGGCTGTAAACGGGAGATAAGCACCGTCTGAGTTTTTACGAACAAGAAATCACCTTGACTTGACATTGAAGTAATCTTTAAATACTCAGCGAGAAACATGCAGAGCTGCATTAACTGTGTTTTTTGTTGTTGCAGATCCTCAATTTGTGTGCCCCAAGCTTCAGTGTGGTCCAGGTGGGTCTGAGAAATATGTAATGCTTTTGTAATGTGCAAATAAGTGTGAAGAAAAACCTTACTCGTGTTAAAACACTTGTTAATAAGGATAGTGTGAAATATTTGAATTTAACTTAGTCCATTTCATATCTGATGTGCATCAACTTTTTTTTCCTGACAACTGCAGAGCTGGATGTGGCCCTGTGCAATAACCGTCCCGTCGACATTCTCTTCATGGTGGATGGCTCCGAGCAGACTGGCATGAACAACTTCAACAAGGCCAAGCATTTTGTGAGAAGCGTCGCAGAGATTTTGACTCTCACAGAAGCGATGACATTAATTGAGCCGACTCCCTCCTCCGCTTCCACTCCGAGGATCAGCAGAAGCGAAGGTGCCCGATTGGGCGTGTTGCAGTACGGTGGTGAAACAGAGCAATCCGTCAATCTTGACTTCTCGGCCAACTTCACGGAAATCGTGGAGAGTCTAGAGAAAGCCAATTACCTGGATTCAGCACACTCGTTGATGCCAGCCATTGTTAACGCCATAGAAACCGTAGTAGAGAACACCGCCAACAAGTACAAGGGGGTGCGCAGCAACGCCGAGGTCAACTTCGTATTTCTGCTGAATGGAGGGACGTCTCTGGGAGGCACCAAGGAAGATCTGGAGAAGGCGCTAAGGGCCCTGCGCCAGCGTGACATCTTCACGACGGTAATCGCGGTGGGCCCCAACGTGGACCACGCGAGCCTACTGCCACTCACCTTCAACGAACGCGCCTCCATCTTCTCAGTGCGCAACTACAATGAGCTCTTGGTGCCATCCTTCTTCGAGCGCTTCATCAAGTGGGTGTGCTAGGCCCGTGGTGGCCCGGCCCCTGACGGGGCTCTCTGCTCCCAGTTTTCTCATAAGCCACTCGCGTTATATGTAGAACTGAATCCAATGGTTCAGTGAATGAAAATTTTCAAATTTTGATTGGCGATGAACCCCCTCCCCACCCCCCACAAGCATTAGGACATCTGCATTTGTTATTTGCGACTGTGAAATTACATGGTGACAAATTTCCGTGATCTTTTATGTTTGAATATTATTTCGTTATTAGGTTAACAGAAAAAACTCGAAAAAGGTATTGATATTGCAAATACCTGATAGCATCCATCTTAGCTAGTAGTGCGGTAAAACCGATGTGTGCTCTCATGACTATGTTATTTTGTTGTTTGATGGCTAATTACTGGATGACATACCCAAAAGTGCACAACTATTACCATGGCTGAATACGGCACTGTTGAGTTTTCCGTAATTTAGAAACATCATACTGCAGGTTCAAATGATCACATGGCTTAGCAAATAGACGCACATTTTTGTTAAACGAATAATATGCACCCATATTATTGTACACTAATACTTCTCATTTGAAGTTACATATCCCCTTTTCTTATATATATTATTAAAGTATCAGGTGCTACGCATAGGGGGGTTCCATCCACTACAGTGTTTGTAGAACTGTGAGGTAAGTGAAGTCACAATGCAGATGTCTCTGACATCTCAGTCGCCATTATATCCAATGTCATTATTTACCGGATCAGTCTGTTACAGTCATGCTTTGAGCTTCCACTAGAGCTATGAGTACAGTTGTCACAATTTAGCCATTAGGGGATGATTGTCTATTATGAAATAAAAATAGATCGTTCTGTTTTAAACTCTAACAGTTAACCTGCAAACATTCACAATGGCCCTTCACTCACAAAATCAAAAATGCAATGCAACTTTGCTACAGAACAGCCATGAAAAATACAACACGTGTGGCTAAAACATTGGTGTCTACATTTTAACAGGTGCTACAATGTTAATTTTTTTACGTAAATATATTTGCATAAGTATGTTAAATTGTTAAGCTCAGTTGCAGGTATGAGCTATGTTTTGTTATCAGAGCCTGAAGCCATAGCAAATCATACCGGTTTTTGAATGATTCAAGATAACAGAGATGTAATAAAAACATGCAGTATCTACACCTCATGCCGGTGTAATGTTATGTTCCAAAGAAGCAGCTATGTGTGTGTGAGTGAGGATCGCAATCTGCATGACTTTGCTTTGACAGGGCCGCGCAGCTTATGACGAGTGGTGCCCTAATCTCAGTGGTCAAAATGAGCCGCTATATCTAAAACACAAAACACTCATACTGACCGGCACTCTTCAGAACGGTTCATATCCAACTATACATGGGATGCAGGACAAAAAGGCTGAGGAAGGGGACTTTTACATTTCCATTTTGACCACTGCCTGACCCCGTATTTATTGTAAGGAGTATACATTTACAGCGAGGAAACATGACAGTAGTAATGCACAATTGCTCATTTGTGTAAATGTTGAAATGCGTGCGAGCACACAAACATGCGTGTGGTTAATGTCATGTCTCCTCTCACTCGCCTCATGAATGGGCTTTAATTACAGTGTTTTGCAGATCGTATGACAAGCGTGCAATGCTTGTCAGTGTCATTAGATATCACAACGGGGGTGTATCCTCATTCCATTGGCAATCATTGATGAGATCCGTTCAGTGGCCTTATCAAGGATAATGATAATAATGTGAGCCCTTTGTAAATCCACTGCCGGATGGAGGCCTTCCAAAGCCCTGTTGGTGGTAGGGCTTGTTTGGGCATACTTCCTCACACTCATCACTACGGATTGGGGAAGAGGGCGTCCAAGATCACCATTGATGACCGCTGTGCAGCCGAGGTTGCTAGGTTCAGTGCCACCGCTGTGCCACCACTATCCCTTTATCGATATCATCTATAAACCCAATTCAGCACTCTAATGCACTTTTAACAAATTGCCAATTGACTATGTATGTTTGTTGAACTTCGTTCGCACCGTACGTAGCCAACCGTGCTCATCGGAGGTGAAGCACCCGAGCTGCTGTTTGCCAATGTGAGCGTTACTCGAGGGAAGCTACTGGGATATATTTGATGGATCTGACTGCAAACAATAATTTAAAGCTGTAGATTGGAGCCTGTGACAGAAAGTCAGTTTTGACGTTCTGTTTTGAGAATGACAAGCGCAAGTGACACCATAAATATTTAAACGAGAACTATGTAGTGTAGTGCTGGTCAAATTTCGATTTAAAGTTTTCGTGACTGCAGGGATTCATCTTCTTGGTTCTTTCGGTAAAGTCACGTGACTTTACCGAAAGAACCAAGATGTAGTGCTGGTCTTTAAACAAAAGGGTGGCGGGACATGAGACTTGGTAATATCCATAGTTTGTTTGGTAAAGTGTACTGCCAAGCGACATTCACGTTTCGATGTTTTCCATGTGAGCAATCTGGCTGAGACTGCAGATAAGCACATTTTCCATCTGGAGGCTTGAAAAACAGACCATCACAAATCTAATTTAATATATAATATGCCCTCTATCCCTCTAACATTTAAACACTGTACTTTCCTTACTTATGCGGATGTGTTTTGTCACTGACAAGAATTAATGAAATCCCAAGCAAATAGCTTTGGGGAAAGTAATATTTAGGGCCTGTTAAACATTAAACAGAGCTGAAAAGGGGTATTTCTTACATGCTATGCCGAGTGTAAAGTTGTCGAGCAAAATTAGTTTTCATTAGAATTGGTGTTTCACTATTATTTTAAGCGTTTTAGGTGATTTTATCAGAACCATCTATTGTGTTATCTAGCACCAATTTGTCATGTGTGGTTGTTTAATACATATTTCCACAGCCAGCTAAATTGTCAGTCCTAAATGCCTTTAGGTTGTCCAAAATCACACTCTCTAAGGTAGCCAGGTGGCTCAGAGGTCTGAGCGATGAATCTTGCTCCAATGAAGTCCTGGTTCGAATCTGGGCGACTGCCCTTAATTAAATTGGATTGTTAGGTATAGAGATTGAAGATTTTAGTCCAGTCACAACTGACTGAAGAATAACACCGTAACATCATATTAATTCTACATTTAATTTGGCTAGATTCTCTAAAAATGACAGCTGGAATATCATGAGGTGAGCAATCCAATAGCACAGAGGGTTATAAAGTGTTGCCCGTTAGTGTGCTACAAGACAAAATAACAGGTCACTTTACAGGGACCTCAGAAGTAATTTTGTAATATTTTGTCCCATGGGCCTTCTTTGAATGCATGTGATGTAACTGTTCTGCAAGAGTTACAGACATGACGCCGACAACACAGTTGGGATAAATAAAACTCCCCCAAAATTACGGTTAAATATTTCTGACATTCACAATGGAGATGACAAGTTGTGACAAACAGTTGGATTCATTTGGAATACTGATGCAGTATTAGGTCTGAATTTCAAACACAAGTGTTTAACCAGAAAGTACACTTAAATTTAATTGGAACAACACAGTCATCATGTGCAATACTGTATTTTATATATACTTGACATTTGAAGGTTTTTCAGTAATACTACTTAAAACACTGTCATTTTATACCCATTGCAGAACTGACAAGAAAAAAAATGGTTCCTCAAATCTGCCCAAAATGCATGGGTTTTGTTTTTTTACATTTCCAACACAACACATTTGCTGGAGTGGGTTAGATAAAAATGCGTCTTGTAATATTTTGTTATTTAAGAATATTCTAGTGCTACGCAATCATTGCATGCATTCAGGTACAGAGGTGAACATGTGTAAAGTGCTCGATATGCCGAATGCGTCCAGAGGAAGATCAATTTTCCAGTATATTCCCATATAACCGGTGGTCAAGACTAATGGCAGAGTGGCAGCCAAAGGTGGTAACACGGCCGAAAGTACGTTACACAAGGGAGATGGGCTGATTAAATCAGTTCTTGTGCATCACCAGACCGTGAGATGCCAATGGCTTGGTGAGGCCTTCGTCCAGCAATGAATACATATTGGCTGAAGATAACGCAGTGAAAAATCTGGTTTCTTGTAGTAAAATAATTTCACAATGCTCAGGTATAGATATTCTTTTCATGGTAACTTAGAGACAGGTGTAAAAACGAATTCGTAAACAGAGACTGGTAGGAGTGCCAAGGTTTGCTGTCAACGACTGATCCTCATCAATCACGTCAGTACTAATCGAGATTACAGTTTTTCCCAAAGTAAGGCCAGGGTTGGCCATCATTGGCCCCATGTATCCTGCTAGGTGGAAAGTTTCGAAGGAAAATGTGCAGAGCACTCTGTTACAATAAACAGCCAAAGCATACATAGCAGAGACAAACATTTCCAGTGCTAATTTTGTTGGATCTATATTTAATTTCATTTAAATGCCTTCATAGGAAATGTTGGTATTTTCATACCTTGTTTTAAATTCAGGGATGACAGACATCAGAAATAAACAAGACGGATCAACTGCCTACAGAGCAATGACAATAATGAATCTGCAGCGGTTGTGCTGGTTCCATCAGTTTCAGCAAATGCAACGTGACTTTGAAATGGTGTTTTAAAGACTAGTTGTAAAATATATTAGCTCGTTTCGTAGCAAGACTATAGCATTAAGAAAAGAGTGCATTGCAGACTGCCTCATACTTGGAAATGTATCGAGAAAATCCTTTGATCACGTACTGTTGCAACGTCTCAAAGCTCCAAAATCACAGATGTGCGTTTAACACGTAGGCTTTCGTGACCAATATCCATAATATAGTTTTTTTTTAGTTAGATTGCGTAAATATATAAATATGTCGTTAAACCCGCCACCACCCGGCACAGCCAATTAGTTAGGTTTGTCACGTAAACAGAACATGACAATTCGTTACTAGTACAGCACACCGGTGTGTTGCACAGCAAAGCCACATTTACAATCTGTCTGTCGCCTGATGAAGGTAGTTGTAATTACTGGCGAAACGTCGTACTTAGATTGTAAATGTTGTGGCTTTGCTCTCCAACACACCGGTGTGCTGTACTAGTAACGAATTGTCATGTTCTGTTTACGGGACAAACCTAACTAATTGGCTGTGCCGGGTGGTGGCGGATTCAATGACACATTTATATATTTACGCAATCTAACCCAAAAAAAAACTGTATTATGGATCACAGATGTGCATTCAGTGGGCCAATATAGAAAGTGAAGGAGTCACCACCTTCATGTCTTTCTGGAAGTCTATAATGGGGCTGCCTTCCTTTAGGGTAAAGAAACCCTATTCTCATATTTTCACAGTAATCTAATTTCATAAGTGCAAGGATACAGCAAAGCACATGTAAACTCTATTTCAAACAAATTTACAAGACAGCACAATAAAAGTAATTGCATAATATTATTTACATAACTTTGTTCATTTGTGCTACCAACGTTTCCACAGTTTTAGGTCTGCATACATTTCTTTTGTTCCAGCATTAGCATGCACTGACTCAGATATTTTTGTTCCCAAACACTAAATACACATTTTGCCTGGCAAAGACCTCCATTGGACTATGCTGGGTCTGTGCTATAGTCCCAATATGCAGACTGCGTGTCTGAACAGGGTGGGGGGGGGGGCGGGTGGATTTTGGTTATAAGACAAATATCGGCACAGCTGGACACATGAAGCTGATCCATTAATGGACCACATAATGTACATCTGGCTTCCCTGTTGATGCCAACATTTTAGAGCAAATGCCAATACCTTGTACAAAAATGCTGAATTTTATTAAAATGTATAGCCGCAAATATTTTTCAAAAGGCTATGCATAAACCCAGACAATAAAAAACTGAGAATCAATGGGTCATTCAAACCCTATATAAACACTGTAAGAATCATGGAAGCTTTGCGGTATTTCCTCTAGTTGCTCGAGCAGCCTCCAATTATAGATGCATATGTAGTAAGACGCTGGCTTTCAGCGACCCGATAGGAAATGAACAGGCAGGACTGAGGTCACTGTAAAGGAGATACTGTGTTCAGGCCGTGGTCTCTGTGCCTCCCCCTTCCTTGGGTCCCTGCTGCTGCCCTGCTCTGCGCCTCTGCTCCAGTTCCTTGCGCTGCACCTTCTCCCGCTGACGCCGCTGCTTCTCCTGCACTTTCCGTTCCTTCTCCAGCATGGCCCTCATCTCCTTCACCTTCTTCTTGAGGAGCCCTCGCTCGCTGAAGCTGTTTACTCCCAGTGCCTGAAGCGTGGGAATAAGCAAATTTCATTAAAAGCTTCATTCACATCATAAATAATAACAATTAAATATTAAAAATACTCAACACATTTACCATTGCACCCTTAATACTTTGGCATAAGGCAGTGTTAATGATGAATCTCGTGATTTTCTTTACATGCTTGTACTCCACGTATGTTTGTCCTTCCACAACTATTAAGCACTGTATTTTTGAAACAGTGTTCATACCTCTTCCTAGTATAACCATAACAAATACTGTCATTGGTGCGAAAGTGTCCCCGGGGAAGCCAGTTGGTAGACAAATTCAGGGCCGCGTGATGGACGGCACCACCTCATCCCCGCCCCCCCCACCGGCCTCGTGTTACAAGCGGCGGGAAGGCCTCTGCATTCTGCTCGCCTTGAGCTTGGAGCTGTCGACCTGCAGCAGCTGCCGCCCGTCGACTCCGCGCGCCGTGAACTCGGGCACGTGCTGCTCCAGGCCAAGAGCCCGGAGCCAGGCAGCGACGCGCTCCACGGGCCACAGCTCCGGCGATGGAGACTCGGCCCCGGTGGCACTGCCCCCGCCGCCACGCCGGCTGGGGGAGCTCTGCTCATCTAGGATCTGGAGCGAGGAGAGCCGCCATTGAGAGCACAGCGGCCACCGCAGAGGAAGCACAGAGCAATGGGGCACCGGCCGTCGAGCACACACTACAGCAAAACCAATGAAAAAGATGTAAAAGATAAGAATTGACACGTTGCGTGCTCAGCGACCACACCAATATACGTGTGAGGCTGCTGAATTGTAAACCCTCATGCCACGTGGCGATGTTCAAAGCTAATCATGTCGCTTTGTAAAATTATTATAATAAAACATTTGATGCAATTTTGCTTTGAAAATCAGTATGCGGTAGGAGGGTTTAAACATCGGGAGCCAACCGCTTCGATTGGTAGGGATTGACAAGTATGATGTGACTAGGGGTGTGTGAAGTTTTCAAAGCCTGATTTTAAAAATAAGCTGTTTAAAGCCACCTCCTCACACGCCTAATGGTGCTGATGAAATGAAGGATCGTCTAAGCAAAACGAATAATGTAAAAAGCTCATTAGCCCTCACCTCATCATCAATCATGTCCAAGCTCTGCACAGTGCAGCAATGTGGGAGACAGGCACAGTGTACCATCAAGCCTGACTATTTCAATGGGAACTCATTGCATGCATTTACAATTTCAAGAAAAGTATGTAATGATTACATGTGTGTGGCAGTGGTGTTCAAGCCCAGGCCTTGTGACTAAGTACCTGCAACATTTCTGAGGTAATTCATATTCTTGGGTTAGAAATTAATAGAAGTGCCAACATCTGCTCACAAGGAAATCTGGGCTGCTGGTTTTTGTGATGTCTAGGATTGAACACCACTGCTAATCAGTACACAACGTGTTTTTGGATAAAACATACTTTTTATATCGTACCATCCAGTAAAGTAGAAGGTTCTTAATTGTTTACAGGAAAATGGCCTATTTTAGATGTTTAGTCAATTCCTTTAGGAGTGTTTTTTTATGTGGGAGGAAACCAGGTTGCCCAGGAAAAACCCCCATGCATACAAGAACACTTCAAACCACACAGGCCAGAAGCCTACACGCTGATTAGTTGACTAAATATGGCCTTTCTCCATCCTTGCATCCACATTCATTCATCCCATGGGTAGTGCCCCCTTCTGTGGAGTGGCTGAGTGTGGGGTGGGAGGCAGGGGGCAGTGAGGAGGTTGGGGCCTCACCTCATTGGAGGAGAAGACGAGCGTGTGAGAGCGCCCCGTGGAACGCGGCTCTGCCACCCAGCCTGTGAGCTCGCTAGAACTCGCGCTGCTTGGACTCACCTCATCCCCAAACGACAAGTTGGGCTGCACATGCGCACACACGGTCGACACACATCCAGACGGGCATCAGCGCATACACGGCATCCAACTTAACATTTTGACAAAACTACATAGAAGATGCAGCTACCTCCTCCATCAGTGGGGCATTAAGGAATTGCTCAATTGTTACTGCGGTGAAGTGCAATGTATCATCTTCTTGGTTCTTTCGGTAAAGTACACGTAGAAGGGAAATAATAAGATAATAATAATAAAACATAAAAAATACAATTCTCACGACGTTTCGGCCACAACGCAAGCAGCCGTCCTCAGGTGAAGAACAGGTCTGTCGGAAAAACAGACGCTGTCATTCAGACGCTGTCATTCAGACGCTGTCTTTTCGACAGACCTGTTCTTCACCTGAGGACGGCTGCTTGCAGTTGTGGCCGAAACGTTGTGAGAATTGTATTTGATTGTTTAATTTTTATTATTTTATTATTTCCCTTCTACGTGACTTTACCGAAAGAACCAAGAAGATGAATCCCTGCAGTCACGAAAGCTTTAAATCGAAATGCAACGTATCACTCGCATCACTGATAATTGCCCCACACAAGCTTTTGCAAGAGGTACAAATGGAACTTTTGTGGCTGTCCTAGGCACTCTTGAATGATTTTCCAAACTCAACATACACAAATTATAAACTCGTCTGTTGCTTTTCAAATTCCACGGGAAAGAAGACTACAATACTTTATTGGCAAAGATGTAATAGAATACTGCATAAGGGACAAGTTACTCAGCGATGACGCTGCCTAAAAGACGTACACTTACAGACATATTATGTAAAAAGAAAATAACACAGTAAGATCCTCTCGTTCAATTTCTAGATAAAGCAATACGTGGAAATAACAAACTTTACGAATCCATGAAGAAACAAAAAAGTAAAGGATAGGCAAATAAAATAGGGTAAATAAAACTTGGCGTAGATGCAATACTGTACCAAATCTAACGAGCGGTTGAAAAACGATGGCCAGGAGAGGGTTATCTGTGTAAAGGGTAAGAGGGGGGATAAATAATAAATGAACAAAAAATATGAATAAAACTAGTGTACGATGTATGTTGCTTGAAATTACGTTATGTAAAGATGTAAATTACAGATATTTTCCCCTGTATCTTAAATGGGCACATTCTTCATGAGAGCCTTGTTAAATTCCACATGTGTAATAGTAAATAGATCTGAAGTATAAAGTATTGAGTTGCGGTGTTAAATAATTTTCAACAATGCCGAATTGTGATGTCGATTACCGAATACTCATTTCCAAAGCGATTCATTCCACTTCAATACATTTTTCTAAAATATATCTTCGATGCAATTTTATTATGAAAATCGGCATGACGAAGAAGGGTCTAAAAACTGACAGCGTTACCACTTTAATCAGCAGGACAGGCAAGTGTGGGGTGTCCGTCTGAGCAAAACGTGCCCATGATCTGTCATACGTGCTGGGTTAATACAATTTGACTGGGACTTGAGAAGGAATGCGTTCGCTATGTGTGGCATGGAGCCACCCGGCTGCACCTTGTTTCGAGCTTTCACGGGACTGGGCTCCACTGAGCTCTCCGGCGTGGTGAAAGAGTGACCCTCCATGACCCTTGCTCCAAGCGTTACCTCTCTCCCATCCACGTCTGACTCTCCGATCACAAACGACACCTGAGCAGCCCTGCCAACCACAACAACAACAACATTCTAGCTTTGACACAAGGTGCTGTGTGTCAGTGGTCAGTGTAAGATAATTTTGGCGATATGCTTTTGGAAATCGTCATACTGATCTTGTGCCAGCACATTGTTGGATTCATCTTCCACTTTCTTGTCTCTCCTGGTGGAGCGTTGCAGTAGCAGCACTGGAAACGACACGGCATTTTGAGAAGCTTTAGCGAGCAGTTCTTCCCAGCAGAGGCAGAGAGATAAATGAAACGTTGAGAAGCGCTTACCTCACTTTGTCGCCAGGAGGGCGATTGCCTGATAAAGATGGGGAGGAGCTGCTCAAGTCTGGTGACTGGCTGTTCCCTCGCCTCACTGCAAGAAGGGTGGACTACTTCATAAAGCTTTTCACAGTAAGCACATGGAGGTAGAACACCGATTTGACAAAAAACAAAACTACAATAGAAGTAAGTCAAAATGTCAAAGTGATTTCTTGTTCAAATGAGGCAGTGCTCATCTCCTGTTTAGAGCCCTAAGCAGTTGGCGGGAGTGCCACATTCCTTTGACAGGGGTGAGTCTATCCATAGGACAACCACTTTTGACTTCCCTATGAAGTTGTTCTGATTGTATCATCTGCAAAGGGTCCCCAGATGGGTCAATAAAATTCGTATGCACTATAAAAAAATATATAATTATGAAGAGTGTATAAATGTAGAACATTTAGGAAATTTCATATATTTTTTTTTATCCGGCCAGTGGATAACATCACCCACTCAGGCCTGGTTTAAGGAATGTTTAATAAACCGTCGTAATAGTTTGTCTTGTAGTTACGTGTTTAGTTTGTTGAGCAATGGCTACAGAGATGGGCAAAACATATTCAAATTACATATGACTGGGATGTTACACAGATATAAATCACAAATTAACTGCCATGTAATTCACCTACAAATTACGAATTACTTTCAAGTGCATAAATTAGATAGCAGTGACACATTACAAAATGAGATGATGTTACATTTATTTTACTGCATGTGATTGAGATACCGCTCATCCCTGGCAATGGCCTGTCCCTAATGCGGTGTCCACGTGGCGGAGTGCGGGGCGAGCACGAGGGCGATGAAGACGTGGCCAAGGATGGACTGCGGCTCCTGCCCGGGATTCGTTCGCTCCGCACAGGGCCCGGAGAGGAGGACCCGCCCAGGGACGAAGTGGATTTCAAAGTCACTCGCCGTGAGCTGCATTCCTCCTCCCTGCCCTGCTGGCATCATGAAGCGCAGGGAACAAAGCGGATGAGCGGATTCGTATGAGCTGGGAAGGGAGCAGCATGCATGTTGAACTTCTTTTGCACCGTACATAGCCAACCATGCTAATGCGAGGTGCGGGGAAAGGACACCAAACTAAACAATGTATGTATGTATGTTGAACTTCTTTCACACCATACGTAGCCAACCATGCTAATCGGAAGAGCAGGGGAAGGACAACAAGCTAAACACAAAAAGCAGTTATAAAGAAATTAGTTGGCATGGCCAAGAGACTCCAGCCTGACACATATTACTCAAATCTATAGCACCAGTTCCACAAATGTTATGTAAAAGTTAACACTTAATTTTCCCAAACATCTATAAGCGAAAGACACAATTGTATCTTATCTTGCACATATACAAACAATTGCTTCAATGGTAATGATATTAATGATATTTTTTTATGTACATATTCAACACGCAATATGCCACGGTGTCTCAGATACAAGCAATATAAAAAATACTCACAAGACAATAACAGTCATATTTTACCTCATCATTGGATGACAGCAACAGATATCTGCCCAAGTGGCTCTGTGGCAGAATGCTCAATTCATATTCAGAGGGATGTGAGTTCAAACTCCGGTTGGTAGTCAACTTGGCCCACCATAGTTTCACAGTCGATAAAACAAACACGACTTTTTGGGAATTCCACACTTGTAATTATTTGTTGATGGGTACCCTATAGGAATGTAGAATTTACACTGCTGACTTAAGGCCACCAGAAGAAACTAGCAGTGGCCAGTGCTCACTTGAGCGGGCAATACTTTGGCTTTACCGCCGTCATCCTTTAAACGTGTCTTGTTTGTATTAAGCTTGCTCTGGCCTGCTCTTGCAAAAGGGGCAGGGCTCACGGTGGACTCGAAGGTGTCCTCCCCGTCAGTAGAGCCCAGGCTATCGCGGATGTGGGACCAGGATGGGCGCTGGCGACGTGCACAGCCACCCAGCTGTGCGCGCGCCTTCTGCGCGCTCGAGTCCAGGCGCTCTGTTTCAGGAATCACTTCTGAGAAATCTGTGGGTAGAGCAGCCACACGGACATGTCAGTCTCCTCCAGCACTGGTGCACAATATCTCTCTATCACTCCCTACACTCGCACAAGTGGAATTCTTCGGTGTAATGATGACCACACAGTCATTCCGGCCAGCACTGTACTTCAGTGATGATGGCATTTTTTTAAATACCAGCACAAATACAAAATGTTATGTTTCTAATCTCTTAGTGAATTAAATAATTAATTCCCCTTATCATTTGTATTCTGTTAATTTCCTAATTATTGCCTTGTAAAATGCCACCTGAGTATGATTCATTAATGAGAGTAGAATTGCAATCATAAAGCATTGTCATTTATCGAAATTCACCTAAGTTTGTGTTCGCCCAGTGAATCGGGAACTGGCAATCATGAATGTATATTTTATAATTATCATCGGTCTTGTGCCCTCCAGAGTCTTCTCAATAAAACGCCAGTTCCCTTGGGGGACGGATTTTGCCGCGGTGCAGAGAAGCACTAGAGCCGTCAGTCTCGCTGTCAAATAAGGACCCTCCCCTAACTTTATCTCCCATACAATGCAGGAAACTGTAGCAGGATCGTTTATTTACATTTAATGTTGACAAATTGTGGCTGTTATTACGATAAACAGAGGTTGCTTTTATATTAGTCCATTTCACATTGTTTTACTTTTGAAATTTTTGAAATGCTCTGCACAGCACCTCGTTTGAAATATTTATACACCCTCATATTATTTTACACTGTTTTCTTATGCACTAAGTTTGTAAACTAAAATTGTATTCTTCTCCCTTGAAAGCGTGTCTTCTTAATGCGCTTTTACCCATGTATAAATGACAAGAGCTGACTAAATGAGCTGAGTACTGTCATCTATCTTGCGATTAGCACTCTAAGAGTATAATGTTTCACTCAAAGAGCACAATTTAGCTGTACTTTTTAAAATTAAATTTTAATACTGCATCACCGTGGAAGGAAGTTTAAATTGAAATAGTTTCAAATCCAAATACTCGCAAAAACTGATTAGATCGTCTATTTGCAATCACTTAAAACCTAACACAAGTGCGTGCAATAACCTGGCTCATAGCTTACTTGTGCAGGCAAGAGCTTTTAAGCTAGGAAGCAGTTTGTGATGCTAAATATTCATGCAGCCATAAAGCTGTCTACAAGTGTGTGGCCTGCCAGCAAGGGTTATTTATTTACTTCAATGAGATGCTCAGCTTGAATGATGCATCATAACAAAGCACAAAATCAGTCACTGTATATCATTTCAATTATTTTCACGATACAACCAGCAGGAATACTAATAAGCAGCTATAATGTAATGCTTTATACTCCAAATTGCTTTGACAATCGGGAAATTATTGAGATATTCCGATGACAAAACGATCATTGTTTAATGTAATTTAATCATAAATGAATCAGAAAAGCTCCGCTTACCAAACACATCTTCCAGATCATCGCTCACACTTTTGCGCTTGTCCTCCAAGGAGCTCTCCGCAGGAGTGCCTGTAAAAAAGAATAGGAACGTCAGTTTTCAACCTATTTATACACAGCTGTTGGAGAATAAGTTACTGCTTAATGCCACAGAATGAAATCCCATTACCAATATGCAATAGTATTACTCTGTAAATTATATGAATATAAATGGTAACAAACAACAAAAGCACACAGTTATGAAAAGCAAATAATATTCCAATGCATAGAAGCTGGATTCAATTAAACCACCTAATGCTCAGCACAGTAGCAATGACAACAACATGCAGTATATCTTTCATGAGGTACATGGCTCTTAGTCATTTTTGGAGCTAAGTGCCTTTTAATTCATCAAAGATGGAAAGAAAAACCATTAGCTTTCCTCTTGGGAGCACAGGATTGATTACTTCCCTTCCGGACTGATCTCTGATCCAAAGTAACCGTTCTTTGGGCAGAGTCCCCATTATGACAGAGCCCTGCCTGAAACTGAAATGCTCAAAGCACAAGCCTCACAGTTACACCGAAACAAAACACCCAGATGCCACAAGCGACATGGCGATGACAAGACGTGGAGGACAACACCGAGAGCCTCAAAACGAGCGAACAGGATGTGCGATGAGAGCCACGGGGACCCCTCACTAGCTCTCCCCACAGGACCGCGTGGCCACAGCATGCTCACCAACCTTACCGCTAACAGCCTTCTCTTTCGAACAAGGGTTCGTGGACTTCGGCTTAGCAGTGGAGGCCCTCTTGCCACGCACTTTCGAGCGGAAGAACGACAACATCGCCATGCCGAGAGCACCTGGCAGCGTGTGTGCCGACGAGTGGCAGCCACGGACAGCCGGCCCACTGTCCGGCCACAATGGCTCTGCCTCACGATTGGTTTCCTTCATCACGGGGCCTTAACCCCTTGCAAGTCAGAAGCAGTGCTCAGCGCTACAGCCTAACCATGCTGGCATTAAATGCAAGGCACTCGGGAATATAGAATGATTGTAGGGTTAATTACGGGGTTTTTTTCATGCAATTGTTTATTTAGATATCTGTGTTGGTATCGGGTTTTTAACTTAGTATCCTTAATGCACATAGCAGTCAAATGTAGTGTAACAGCCATATTACAAGATGTCACACATTTTCAATCTATATATTTTCATTGCAGGGAAAGGAAATTGAGTATAATTTTTTACTTTGTAAAAAAAAAACCGCTACATTTCATAAATAAAAAATATATCGGGTAATGCCTTCATATGACAATAATTTAGACATTGGAATAGGTTAATCTCCATGAAGCTGGAGCATGATAAGATGCAAGAGGAGAGGCTGTGGATTTATTGCTTCCCACGGCCGGCATTGAAGCAGCCTCCGCCAGGACCAGGACAAGGGCGTTGCCTCCCTGGTCGTGCACGTGAGTGTAGCATTAGGCCCTCACAATGAGAGTGTAGCAATAGCCCCTGACAATGGGATTATATACATTAAGCCCTCACAATGACTTTCTACATCTATAGGTAGAGTTAATTTGTTTCTACTGAAATTATTTGACCATAAAAGGCACACTACGTGACAAACGAATGATTTTTTTAAGGTTTACTGCACCGATTTCACTGGATGTTAAGTCCATAAGTTGTTTTAAATATTAACTTTCAAAGCGTTGTTAATAGTTAATTCGTAAATTCAGGAAAATACACACACTGAAACTCCATGTGTTGAATGAAGTTCAAAGGATAGTTGAATGTGTCATTTAATCTTATGGTGTAATTGTATGCTTTGGAGAAAAGATCATTACAATAAATATAACATTGCATTAGCGTATGGTAATTCACTTGTGCAGTGCAAATGTCAGCCCCTTCACAAACAACACACTACATCACTCTGTGTGACCTTCTGTCCGATGGCTTTACGGCTTACATTAACAAACCCAGCAACACTGTCAATCTCTTGGTATAAATCAATGAATCAGATTTTATTTCTTCAAATGTGCCTTTCTTAAAACCGAGGCCCCCATACCTAAAATCATCCGTTATTTTTTTTAAACCATGCAATTTAAATAGTAATTAGGTTGATCTGCAACCAAACCTTTTGTAACATTAATTACTTTTCATATGTGAAATCCAGCACAGGGTGGGAGCCATTTAGGCAACGAATGGGCCCCAAATGTTTGTAGTCACATACTGGGGATGTTGAGCAAATTAACTATTTACCAACGTTTTACTGTAACGTAACACATTTATGTAAAGGTCACCGTAGTGCTCTCAAATTATTTAAACACGAGTGAGCAGTGATAACCAGCACACTACATGTTCCATGTAAAATGGACACTATGAAAATTGATGCATTTAGTCACTGTCTGTTCCACCACACATTGATGTTAGTCTAAAGCTTGTCAGTCTTTCTTTAGCCATTTTTTTAAAACAATAAACAGATTACACGCAATGTTGTAAAATATGATCAATTGAATGACACCTCATCGTACTAAATTGAGATTAAAAGGTTATGTTTAAAAAAAGAATCTTTCCATACAGTTATGAACAGCAATGATTTCCAGGCTATATAAATCTAATTAATATAAATTTGCATGCCCCTTTAATTTAGGGGAACACATTTAATGCATCTGCATTTGAATGAAGCCTACAGGCAAGGATAATTATTTATATTGAATGTATAATTTACTTTCAGCAATGCTTGTTTCCGTGTAAAAATTTATGGAATGAGAATAATCCTATTGGGGAAAACCCATTCAGAGAGAATGAAGGAAAACATTTTGGACAACTTTTCTCATCCAAAAGTCATTGTAAGGTGAAACAAAATGATGAGTCTGTATATTAGTAGTTAGTGCAACATTTGTGCTTGCCCTGAAAGTTTCTGAACTGAAAGTTTCTCCGACAACTTGTAGTTGACAATTTTGTGAAATAGTTAAATGCTTACAATTTCACGCTCACTGAAATTCAGCATTTGCGCACGAGGCAATCTGCTGAGTAACATGTGTTGTTGGCACATGACTGGAAACAGATAATAATTGTAAAGTGATCATCCTTTTTCAGAACATGCATGTTCCCAAATAGTATTATTACTTTTATTACATTGGCTTTTATAAAAAACATATTTTCTTAATATGTTATTTCCAAAAAAATTATGTACTTTGATATTATGACCAAAATATTAATGTATTTTTTTACATGTGGGGCGCATGTACACAATTTACGTGGTGTAGAAGGGAAAGTAAGCTACCAAAATGACCCACAGTAAAAATACCACTTTTATTGTCATTTCTTCATTCATACAGACCCACTTTTATGGAAACCACAGGAGGAGCTACATCTGAGGCTATCAAATGACATCAACACTGAAATAGCTTCTTTCAGCTGCAGCAATTAAAACTGTGCATATCACAAATAATCACCACATAATGTAAATTTACACGAAAATATATTTAAATACTGAACGTATGTTTTCTTCATCAATATACAGCATTGTCTAAACGATACAGAATTACTCTTTTTTAAACAACCTTGCAATGTGCGAACAAATGTAGTATAGTGACTGCACAGTGTTCGCATGCCAATGTAACACTCAAGTAAATAACATCATAACACTGAAAATGCCAGACAATTGGGGCTGCTGCATAAGGTAGGAATGTTAGCGAGTTCCTAAGAAGTGCAGGCTTGTGCCATGATTCTGGCACAAGTAAAATGTAAAACCGAAATGCTTACCATTAAATTACGTCTACACTATAAGCATCCAACTAGGGCCACTGTTATCTACAAAACATGAAAAATCTCCCATCAATCTTATAGCCTCCTGTGTGGTAACTCATGGGAGGGGTTTTCTACAAATATTTGAGATCATTTAGAAGCTAGGATACAACTAAAAACGGAATGTTCATTAACAAAATCCGCTTTGTTTGAGAAGTTCACTTTGTTCAGCAGGCACATTAATCTCTCTCACAAGTTACAATGTTTGTGAAGCTTTGAGACAGATGCTCTACCTGTGACAGGAGACTGACAGCAATAGGCGTAATGCTCACCTTGTGATAGTTCCAGCAGGACGGAAAAGATATGATCTAAAAAACGACATCTGTCAAAATAGACTATGTTTACTTGTTCATTCAAAGTTAAAACAGAATGCAAGCGCTTCAGTTCTGTTGTGAGTATTAGGAGCTGCTTGCTTTGTGCTGTGGTGGTCAGATGCTAGTGCTTCCTACAGAACGTCTGTAACTGTTACTCCTCAGAACGTTACTGTACTTGGGACTGTCTGAATCTAAGACGCTTGCCTACCTTCAGAGGCATCATCACCACTGGCCGTGATGCCCCCTTGTGCTGTCAAGGGTGCGGCAACCCCAGGTCCTGCTGCTGAGCTTTCTCCGGAGGAGGGCCCGGACCACGCTGCCACGGAATGCTCACGACACAGCTCCATGGCCTCCGTGCTCCCTGATGACCCGTCGAGCCCCAGCAGCAACAGCCCGGAGTCGCTGGAGCCGCGCCTCATCAGCTCCCGCTCCAGCTCTAGTATCTGCGGTCAGTTGTCAAACATGTCCCAGTCAGCAGTCAAGCCGCGAGTTGTGCCTTTGTTTTTAACTGTGATTGGGGGAGAAGTTAAAGTGCCTACTCTGTTCTGAAGTGTCTCCACTTTCTTCACGTAGCCTTGTTCCACCTCAGTGAGCTTTTTCGCCTGAGCCTCTTCACGCTTGAGCAGGTCCGACTCTCTAGGATGGACACCACAAACATGCTTCAGATTGCACTGCAGACAATGACATGCACGAGCTGACCAGGAGATGGCAGTATAGCAATGAAGTGAATGTGCGCTGATATTTGAATATTATCCACTGGTATATGTGGGGTTTCTAACACGTGCAAAACACTCCATAATGCAATTGACCAAACATCACAATCCAGGACTATCCTAAAAAAAGAGTCTTGAAACTCAGTGAGGATTTCCATAAATAAATGGGAGTATTATTATTACAACTACAGTATGAAATTATATGGTTATTTCGGTAAAGTCACGTAGATAGAAAAAAATACAATAAAATAATAAAAATGAAAATAAAGTACGTAAAAAAGAATAAGTGAATAAGAATGTAACCATATTTTCCATAAATAAGATTCCAAAAACAGCTTGACTCGAGTAAACTCACTTTTGCTGATAATCCTTTATCAACTTCTTGGCTTTGTTATATTTCTTCTCCAGGGCCTGGTGTTGGGCTTGGCTCTCTTTGAGGTGCTCGTTGACACTCTGACACAGCGTCTGCGCCTCCAGCCAGTATCCCTCCAGCTTGCTCATGCGCTCAGCATTCTCCTCCATGCTCTGCTGCAGCTGGAGCCGTTCCAGCCCCCAGCGCTGCCTCTCCTGCTCACTGAAGACCAACTGGCACGGGAGGTATGAGCGTTTTGTGGCGAGATGCGTGGGCCTACTCTGATCAACCGGCAACCCTGTCCCACTGGTCAAGCTGCAGAAAACGCTCGGGTACGAACGCAGAGGCTGTCTTAAGGATGCGGGCCTGCCAACATATTCAGTTGGCAAAATCAGACTCTGCGTTAACTTTAGCATCATTGAAATACTAAGTCTTGTTTATGTGACCTCAGAATGTATTCTGTGGAGTCATATTCTGGGGCCACCTTTCAAGTTCATGTTTATTTTATATGATTTAAGCAGGTAAGAACTCAACAGGCCATGATGAGTCTCATTTTCAAGAGTGACCAACAGTAATCAAATTATAATTCTAGATCTGCATACACAAGTAAATCACGTGCAGTATATTCCACTCACACACAGCTTATAGTAAAACATGACGCAATAGCATAAAACTAGCATGGTATTTTATATCGCTTTTGGATCAATTGCAATAATAAATGTTAACATGTTCTACAAACCACAAAAAATACAATAGACCATTGTAATGTACAAACAAAACAAGCAATAAAAGCAGAAATCAACACTTATCCTCAACGATTGACCAATTCTCATGCAATTTAAAGAAGATCACCCACCTCCTTCTTCAATTTTAAGATCTCGGCCTCAGTCACAGCATGCTTTATTCTCAGCTGAGAGAGAAGAAAACAGAAATTAAATAAAAAAGCACCATGAGCGCACAATAATGTAAATCCAAAAATAAGTAGAAATGTGAACTGGATTTTAAAAGGTTGTCTTTTTTTGTGTTAATCAAACGATTTATGCAGCGCAATATTAACTGCTGAGAACACAACCTCTCACCGGGTCTCCATTCACTCGGCGTGTGTAAAGCAGTAATCTGTAGCTTTACAGACGATGCTCATCAATTTCGGCGCCACGCGATAGCAAACCAAATACAAATCAGCATCGTTTTTCAGCTGCAGTCTCTCTTTAAACCTCGGAGCAGTTGTCAAAGGAATCACAGTATATCTTTAAAATTAGCATCACAGTGTACAATAGCAGTTAAAGTAAAATGCAATGCAGAGTGCCCTGAGGGTTCATTATTAGTGCATTACTTTACAGTGACACAACAGCACAATACTGCCAGTGGGTGAAAATCAGTTCAGGTTTCAGGCAGCTGGCGTATTTGAATAATTCATGACTGTGTGACTTGCAGATATCAGTCTACAAGCTGAACATGATATCTGCAGACAAGTACCTTGCAAACATGAATTTAAATTATTTTATCACTCTAAGATCTCTTCCTGAGCCCCTATCTCTCGCACACTTTAATAAGTTTTGCTCCTGCACACCCGTGAACACTGCTCTACTCAGAATCTCATTGTCATACTTTAAAAATGTACACTGCATTATGCTTTATAAGCAGCTTCCATCAACATTATATATATATACTCTCCAATCTTTAGACATGTTTTATTCAAACCAAACATATGCGAAATTAATATTACACGGTTGGAAAAATGTACGTGAAATTATTTAAGAGATTGTAAAATGTCAGCAGCACCGTAGTTCCAATGCGTCGTTTGCCTGTAAACATTATTGCATGCCGAATGCACTCACTTGGCACTAGGAAGAGCGAGGTGCCTGTAAGGACAACTGGGACCGCGGGGTTATCTGACATTGGCACTCACCTCCTGGAATCTATGTGCAAGCTGTCTGTCCTCCGTGTTCGTGGTGGAGAACATGTCCCCGTCCTCTCCCTCGGCTAGCTCGAATACCTCCATGGGCAGCCGTCCCAAGTGCGACCCGTCGTCTTCCTCGTCCGTTGCATACTCGCCCGTCTGCACCCACACACCGTTCATTCCATGGGGCTGTGGGTGCCACAGTCCCTTCTCACCTGGTGGCCACCTTCCAACGCGGCTCCTCTCTCACAGCAGACACGCAGCGCTCATAACGATGCCGTATCATAACATGCGAGTTTTGCGTCGTTAAAAGGTGATTGTGCCATTGTGTTGCAAAATAGGCCGAGAACACACAGGGGTTAATGGGAAAGGAAAGCTGTTTCAATGTGCACAAAGAAAAATAAAGCATGCAGAGTGAAAACGACTTACTGAGGAGGAAAAGGCGCAGGGCACAGTTAAAATACATTCCCAAGCAAATACCTGAAAGGTGCATGACAGTGGTACCAATTCACACCGACACCACAAACAGGATTATCATTCTAGCAATGACTCAAATGCTTCTTACATTTATTACTGTGCATTGAGCCCATACGTGCAGTATGCACCAGGCTTAAAGCTCACAATGAAGAGTTAAATTAATCTGATAATAATTTTAAACATTTCAAGGCGTTATTTTAGAAATCGACCATACCTATGATGTATGGTATGTTGTATCTACAACACTCAGCTTGCATCACACAAACCTGCGTGCTGGCTTCGCCGTTAGTCTATCTGCCATCACGCTTGGCATCAGGTGAGCCATCGTCTAATGTCTTTCTCTACGGGCAATTGGGTAAGAGGCGGTTGAGCCACATGTCAGTCTATGCACTGGAAAAAACAATGGCTGGGGATTTTGGGGTGAAGGAATAAGTCTGGCATGCAGGGGTGACCACTGACAAGCTGCACCAAGGGAAACATTACAAAACACGTTGAAATGTAAAACCACAGCAAAACACGTGTAATACTTTGACTGTGACAAAACATGCACGTACATAGGTATCATTTCATGTGCAGTGATATAAACAGGGCCTGATTCATGTGTTGGGGAAAAAAGAAAGTCGTACATTTTTATCTGAACAAAAAGACTGAATTGGCAGGAAATGGCGATAAATTGTGCGTTATTAAGCCAAATGTTGCTGGAATTTGTTATGGCAAACATGAATTATCTCCAAGACACCTTGCAAATTGCATAGCCATTTAATTTAGCGATAACATCACTGTCAAACAAATAATTAAATAAGCGTGGAAAATCTCATTCTGAAAACAAAAGCATTGGCATGAATCGCTTGTTTATTAAACATAGGAACGAAAACAAATTCGCTCGCATGCCAAAATAGGCTGATGTGCCGTTACCTCATCATCATCGTCGTCATCATCGTCATCGTGGTAGCGGGCGTACTGCTGCTCCAAGAGCTCCCTCTGCCGCCGCTCCTGCTCCAGCGTCTGGCTGATGAGCCGCGCCACCTCGCTCTCTTGGCCCGGCCGCTCACGCCCAATTCGGAACCTGCGCGATCCCGCGGGGTGCAGTGTTGTCCACGCACGGGGCCATCGCCTCCGGTGAGCCCGCTGTTTTGTTCGGCAGTGAAATAAGCTATAAGCAGTGGTTGGGGCTCTGATCATCGTTGTCGTTAGTGTAAGATACGCACACAGTACCTTACAGATAACCAGTCCATTAAAATATGTATCAATACATTGTAATATCAGCTTCAATCATGTTGGTTTCCAACAATACATCATTATTTGTGTATAAATATCTACTGTATCCCTTGCTTAGAACAACTCCCGTGTATAAAGTTGCACTTTATATGCTACCTTTTCTGACATGTTTCAATCCTGTGACTCATCTGGTTTTTTAAATAGCATGCTTTTTTTTACTAAGTCTTACAAATCCTGCAAGTCTGAAACATTCCATAGGATAGTGCTGACGTTTTTGATATGGATGAGGTGCGTTTTAATTGATTGACAAGTATACAACAGGCTTGCTCTTGCTAAATAAAAGTCATTTCAACTTGTTTGAGAATTGAAAGTAATTTTTTTTACTATTTTGTACAACAAAAAGAATAGTGTTTTTTTTATTGAGACACAAATACACGTATAAACCCCACTGCGCATAAGCAATAACGTGCAATGCCTGCCAACATCCTTTGAAAGGTGATTAAACCGTTAGCCTTGTTTCACGGGGTGAAGGAGCGGGATTACAGCTCGTAGCCACCCACCTCACAACGCCTTGCGTGTTTTTGAGCACAGTGGCAGCAAACGTTTGGGTAACACCGACCAAGCTGATCCCATCCACCTCCACGATCTGGTCGTTCACCTGAATCCTGCTCAATGGACCACATTGGAAGAATTGCAGCATAGTAACCCAGCGCACAATTGTTTGTAAAAAAATAACATTGACCCTTTTCAAGAAACGTTTCATTTACACAAGCATTCACTTCCCACTCCCAATTCTTACGGAATATAAATATAGCACACCAAAAGCTGACTTCATGTATTAAGTTACATAAACGAAAACAATACCTTCATTAATATTTTTTTATTTGAAACATAACTCATATATTGTATTTTAGGAGTCAGACCAAACTTAAGAAAACGCCAAAGACAATGGCACAGGAAAGCAAACAGTGTGACGGGGCCGCACCTGCCATCCCTGTGTGCAGCTCCACCCTCGGTGATGGTCTTGATGAATATGCCCAGCTTTTCGAGGCCCGCATCGGCCCCCACGCCCATGCCGATGATGCTCAGCCCCAGCCCCTCGTCACCTAGCAGCAGCAGCAGGAACACACAGCAAGTGGCACCATTACTTTGAAGGTAAATGGGCAGCTTTACAATTATTACTCCTGACGCTGCTGGTGGAAGGGCTTCCACTAGAGGGACATCTAGAAAACCCCTTTAAAAGGTATCTGGCCTACTCTTCCAAGCTGGTTAGACATCTTGGAAGAGGTGGGAGTACTTTACGACACTTTAACTCCCAGCACGTAACCTGCTGATCAACTAACTGTGGTGTACTCGTTTGTGTAGATGACTGGACAGAGGAGAGGGGTATTTTAGAAACATTCCATTGTTTCAACTGCCACACTAGGGAGATAGTACCATTGACCTCTGGTAAAAAAAGAAGTCCAGTGAGCTAACCATTATACTATGGCAGCATGTCTTCCTGATGTCCTAAAAACCTCAGGAAAACATCGTGAATGCCTTTTATAAGAAAAAAAGTATTTTTATTCCGAATACATGTACTGTAATCACTTGGTTAAAAAAAATGCAAACGCAATGTTTTTAAATCACATTCTTTTCTAAGTGTGTGAATGGAATATAATCATTTTCTTCATGGCAGATCTCCATCACAGCTTAACTTGAATCCTGTTTTCAGCTGAGACCTGCACCTAACGTTTAGTTTAGTTATTAATGTAACAGGTGAGGACACAAAACTAAAAATTACTTCCCATAATATATGGTATTAGCACCATTGATTTTTAAATGAGTTACTTTTTAGAAATGTCATACCATGAATTGCATGGCTTGTTATCACATGCATGTTCTTCGTGGTATGTCATTAATAACGACACAGTTCTTTTATGAAACTCTTGCCAAGACTGTATTACGTGCAATATATTCACCTGGAGCAAAGCACTGCAGAAAAGCAGCAGTGGCTAATGTTAAGTTCACTGTGATCGAACAAACGGTTGTTAAAGTGAGTCCCGGCTATTGTGGTGCAGTAGCCCAGACAGTGTGATGGCTGCTGTCTGCATGCGCATGCACGGCGTGATGCTGCCCAACCCTGGGGGTTCTGCACATACACGGTCACATGGCACTTTTAACGCCAACCTGCACTGGACAAACAATTCAGATACGCTATGTGCCTGAACATACAACTAATCACCTCTTGTTCAGGCTAATAATATTAATAGTGTTTTTTTTAAATAGACACTTGCACTTTAGGTCACTATAAAACCCAGTATATGCAGTTTGGCACAGACTATTAGGCTCAGTGGTTGAGTGAGGGGCTCGCAATCATAAAATTGCAAGTTCCAATCTTGATTAGGGTGTTGATTCACCCGATCTTCCCTACTGGGTCGATAAAATCAGTACCACTTTGTGGGAAAGTCAACAGTCGACGTTCTACGGATAGACTCACTCCCACCATAAGAATATGTAATTCCCACAACTGGCTCAGGGCTGTAAACGGGAGACGAGCACCATCTCAATGCTCATTTGAGCAGCAGGAGATCACTTGAGCACAGTGTGTAGATTTCTAGAGGGTTAATCCTTCCGGCCGGGCCCTCGTGCGCACCTTTCTCCATTTCCACATCCAGCAGCTCCATACGCTCCACACGCTTCTCCAGCTCGTACTCAGGCCGATGCCGCCACTGGGTCCACATCCTCGTTGCGGCGGTCATACTCCTCATTCGAGAAGGTGCTGAACACCTGGCGAATGTAGGAAACAAACAGGATCGTACTTGAGGTGCTCTCTCGTTATTAGAGCAATGCAGCGCACATACTTTTGTACCGTGTTCACGCATTAACATCAAACACTCCACGTATATGAACGAGTGTACATGAGGTGGCCTTGTTGCTAAGGAGTCACAGCACAAAACCAGCATTTGCGTGATCCCGAGTTCAAATCCAGCTTACAGTCACCCATACCTGTCAACCCATACGGTTTACCCAAAATTATTGCACAGAAAAATTGAGTTTTCAGGTCCATACGGCGTACAGCCGTTTCAATACGGGCAAAAAAATGTGTCCATTTGTTTTTGTTTCTCCCTTGTGATGGGACTTTGTAGGATGAACTTTGAGATTTATAAGGGTACGGGGTGACGAATAAGGTCTGAATTGATCTGTAATAAGGCAGGCACTTATAAGGATTTGACAGGTATGGCCACCTGTGGTTAAACATGGTTCTCAAGTGTCACAGTTTTATGGCTCGATCTAGTCACAATTACTGCAAACAAAACACATCACGTGACTTTTAGTTGTTCACATCATTTAGCTAAGGTCCAGCTCTGACCTCTAACAATTAGAAACATAATAATTTTACCGCCATGCAAAAATATTCAGGGTGTATTAGAAAGCGCATCCTCTAATGTGAATAAAAAAGAGACATCAGGAGATCTGGGGATTAGCTTTGATATCCCCTTCCATCAAATCTTAAATTACAAAAAAAACACAACAGAATAATGGTGCATTCTAAACCATGAGTTTAAAACATGACACAAACATGTGTAAAAAGCGCACGTCCATTGTGCATAGGCAAAACACCACCATAACTTCCAGAGTACATTAATTGTGGTCCTCATCTTAGATCACCATCAGTTTAGTAACCAATGCTCACTACTACAGATGCAGACATTGGAGAAGTGAGCATTAGTGACTATGCTTGAGCCATAATTATGATGAAACCGGTCCACAGTTGTCTATCACTGCATCACTGCAGCTGTTAGTTGGTCCCATCGCTCAACTTTATTCTGATGGTGATTTAAGACAAGGGGATCACACTGTACCTCTTCAGGAAATGCTGATTATTGTTGGCATATGCACAAAGGCCACGTGCTTTTTATACATTGCTGTGCCCTGTTCGAAAAGTATGACACCTCCTTTAATAGGCCATTCTCTACCATACAAGCTTGTCCTACTTCAAATGATGCCAAGAGCACGTTTGGAATAAACATGGCGAAAAAGACAGATGCATGTGCAAAATCCTGCACTTAAGAATGCATACAAACATAATTATAGTCATATACGAATGACAGATTCGACATACAATAACTAATCAAAGCACCGTAGACATACCATTCTGTAGCAACCATAATGGAAGAAGAATTAAGTCGAAGAGCCAACAGGTGGCTGGAAAAAGACTAAGCTATAGCATGGCCGAGGCTAGATGAGTGCAGGCCGGCTTGGGCTCTACACCCCCAAAATAATGTCCCTTTGGCCCAGCCAAGTTCACTCTCTTGAGAAGTGCGAATCACTGTTATGGTGCCCCCCCCTCCCCCCCCCCCCATTTGAAAGGAGCATAAGCCGGCCCTTAATTAAACCAACATTAACCGTACCCTTTAGCTTGGAAACTGATACGTCCGTGTGGTTTGTCTGAGTAGCAGGGAATGCTGGTCATATGCCTTACTGTAGCTTTGTTCCGTCCCTCCACTATCGCTACCTGATCGAGTTCAATAGACGCACTACTAACATTATCTCAGCTCTTGGCATTCGTACAGGAGGTGTGGGTCCGCAAAGCATTAACTATAAAATCTTTGGGAGAATAACATGTTTTCTCTACTTTTAACACAAAGGATGGAAGGTTCTCACGAGCTCAAAAACGGCCCCACCTCAGCAACTTTATATTCCATTGTACTACCCGCTATTCTCAAACACAGCACTGTATACAGTAGTATAAGCATTTCATAAGACTTTATGCGAGCTGTAGAGTGATAATATTTAGCTTTATGAGTCAAGAACCAGCACTTGTAACTTTGAGTTGTAATATGGGGCAGCAGAGTGGAACAGCAGTAATACTTGTGCATCACATGCTGGAAATGCCTGGTTTCATTCCTGACCCGGGCACATTTCTGTGTGGAGTTTGCAGGTTCTCCCCCTGTTTTGTACGCATTTAAAGTTTCCTCCCAATGGTAAAAACATAAAAATGTAGTTGACGTTGGCCAAACATCTCAATGCATAATCCTCCTGGAAAAGTATATTGACTCAATGTGGTTTTCCTGGGTAAGTAGGTAAAATTCTAATGTGAACATGAGTCCTAACTTTTAAAAATACGAATGTGCTACCATTATAAATGCATTTATTCAGCTAAATATATATATAAACGTTTACAATGTTTATGAGAAGGAGCACAAGTGATCTCATTACACGATATATAAGACAGCTACAGTCGACACAAAAAACTGCATTAATTGGGACCCATAGTTTTTTATTGCAAAAATAAATTCAGAGCTTTAAAAAAAATGTTTACTTATATTTACTATACAGCTCATCAATACAGAGTCAGATAATAGTTTCTAGAATAATTATCAGTTTGGGGAATTATTCACCAAATGGTGGTATTGTTCATGTCAATTTATATACAGAAACTTGCTTTCATTGGACAATATTTCACAAGTACTGTGCATGACTGTATTCCCGAAGGAAGTAGCTTTCCATTGTTTGGCAAGTGGCAATCTGTCATTGGACAAAGCCATCAGCACACACGCCCATTGCTCGTTTCAATCAGAGGAGCCCTGCTTCCAAACAAATCAAATAAAATACAATCCCGGCTTTGTTTCTGTGCCTTTACAACGCCTCAATTTAAACTTTAGCAGCTCACATAAACAACACGGATAGAACTAAGGACACCATGTATTAGTGTTCAGAGTACTTACCACATATGCCCATGAACTAAATGTAATCATGGTCATCAAATATGGATTTGTTAAATAATTAACATCAGCAGCTAAGACCTATTCACTGTTGCAGGAAGGCCTCTCCAAGCCATCACCATCAGACATGGCCACCTCACAATGCAATAATCCATCTAGATTCAGAACACGGGCTGATTTCAATGCTCCATATCTCTTTGGCATGTTCATTCCTTTGGCTGCCATTGTCGAGGATTCAAGTTTCAAACCCAGTGGCCACCCTGGTTAATACTGCAGGTTTCTTAAGCATAAAAAATAATCTTAGTCTGCTTCGCAGTGGACTATACGATCCTGCAAAGTAATTCGCAAGAGTAGGCCATTATGCGTCGGTGTCATGGTCCACATTTGTTAAATTTGAAAGATTACTGTCAAATTACTCAATTGGGGTATAGATAACAATTATCGCCCCCTACTACGAAAACCTAGCAGAACCCTCTTGGAAAAGAGCCATGAGACTCCGTGAGGATTTCATGAGTAAATGCGCATTATATGTCTCGACCACAAACCATTCACCCCTTCTACCGACCTGTCATACCCAAGCCCACTTGCTTTTTTCACTGATATAACATCTATAACTCGCGTATATGCTCTGTGATACATGTTCCTCTTTCAGTACTGTATATACTTTTACATATACCTTTGCTCACTTTTCAGATTTTGTTAAATTGTTTTGTCATTGTAATAAGCATGTTGATATGTCGCGTTCATGATTACATTCATAATTCCAAAATATATCCAACCTGCTCTCTTGATTTCATTGTTTTTATTCTGGTCCACCTTAAATAACTGCTCTAGGTATACTGTACATACCCTGATGTGTTATCCAGTTGTATCCCTCCAAATAGATATATTTACTTGTTTTAGAAACGTGTGCATGTTTTGCGTTTTTCTCATTAATCTTGAGTCCAAAATTTCCGATGTTTTTTAATATTAAGTTCTTTGATAATATTCTGTCCTTTATTTCTATAGATTTTTAGAGTATAAAAACAAGGGGATACTTTCGCCAAAGATATTCACAATAACATGATCATTTTTCCAAAACTTAGATACAAATGCATGAATATAAATGGAGAAACTATGAACCATCTCAGATCAACTGATGACAAAACCGTAACAACAAAAAGTGTCTGTAACATTGACCAAGGTTTTTCCCAGATAGTTTGCAAGAACTAACTCACCATGCCTTGTGAGACAAGATCAAGATGTGACCATGACCAAAGCCATCACACCTCACCAACACGTTTTACCCTCTGTCCATTCCTGCAGTTGCTGAAGAGCAAACAAGCGACCTCCCAAGATCTTTCTACACAGTACCCCACCATCTTTTCTTAGGTCTTACACTTGGTCACCAGACTCGTGGAGGCCACTCCAATGCCCGTCTCAACAATTGGCCCTCCTCCATCCTGCTGACATGTCCCACCCAGCAAGATACCCAGGGAAAATAACACGTGTATTGACAATTCATCCACTGTGTTTGTGTTCAACAGTTAATCAAGCCACAAAGAGGGTGTGCATTCACACGATTCTAATTAGCCATCGGCAGAAGGTCGTTTGTGTGCTTTCCCTGAGGACGTCACTGGGACGTGTCAACGTTCTCCAGAGGACAAACTCATCTCCGCCTGCCGCCTGCTGTTCCTCGACGTGCAGAGTAATGCTAGGAGCTTGGCAGGTTTGGCTCGACGCGGGCTAAAGGGCACTCATGGGCTGCGAGATCTGCATGAGCGCCGCTGCACGAGGTCTCCTCTTTGCTGATGTGGTAAATTATTTAAATGCAACGCGCTGGAGCATAACCCACTATGACAAAGAATGTATCCAATAATGTGCACGGTGCCTATGCATTAACATAATGAGTACAGTGCCTAATTTTTTTTATAATCCTACACAATCAGCGTGCAAAAAATATCGTTGTTTTCCGACATTGTATGCAATGTCACATGCATGACAGAGTGGGAGTCAGATTGAGGCAGGCTGGCAGTCAACAGTGACTCTATTTAAAGGGTCCTTTCGCAGCAATGAGGCATATACGCAACAAAAACACATTTTATTTCACGGTCAGGGGAAACGCATTTGTCTTTCTCAGTCTCTCGGTCCCCTGAACCACGGGCTCTTAAATGGGGCAGAGCCAGAAAAAACAAAGTGTGGCTGTGTCAACTCTGATGGCCAGTGGCTGGGAAATGGAGCTGGACGCTTTCACCGATCTCCACAGCTTGTTTACTGTGAGCCACAAGCTCTGGCTGGCTCTGCTTTCGTCATGCAGGCACATACGCCTCTCGCGTATATTTATTTATGCAATGGCTTTGTAGTATAGCTAACATCGTGATGAAAATACCAAGCTATGTTTTTTTTATTTAGGAGTCCTCAGTTAGATTCTTAAAACATGTTGGAAGAATCCAACTGAGGTTAAAGTGGGTAAAATGCATACAGTACAGCATATACTAGCGGTATTAATATACTGATCTCATTATGCAAATGTGTCTCTTCTGTTATTGCTGATGCACCTCCAAAAATGTTTACGTCTCATTGAAGCGCCAATGTGACCTACATAAACTACTGCTGTGGACATTAACATCACTTGTTATATAACAGGACAAGCCGACACATGCAGATGAAGCATTTATATTAATTGCAGGACAAACGTACGTGACAATCATTTACCAAAGGGTTGTCAATGCTATTATGGTAAAAAATATATATATATGTTCATTTATTTTTTCCATGCAACTCAGAATAACTATTTTAAATGCTACGATCTCTCAGCCCAGATTAAAGGAAACCACGGGGAGTCCAGCACAAATTCTGGAGAATATGGCCCAAACAGGGAAATGCAGAAAGGCCTGGGAAACAAGAGCTGAGGTTCATGCTGAGGGGTTGCCGGAGAGATGCCCCAAACTCTTCCCACAGTCATTCCATCATCCATTATCACAAAAGAGTAGGTTTAATGCATGTTGGCAGCAGCCCTCCCTGCTACTTTTGATCACACCAGACATGCAGGCAGTTCCACGAGAAAGCGGGTCCATTCAGCCAAACCCTCATTAATCATTACAAAACTCTCATAGGAAATGTAACTGTTGAAGTCAAGCCTAGCATTCACCTGCCCTTAGAAACACACCGAGAACAGCTAGAATCACACGGCTACAAAACATATGGCATCTTATTTGTATTTTGAGTGCACACAACAGATGCACGTATAAGTGGTGTTATTCAATGTTCTGATTAATGAAAGCTCATGTATGAAAGTGGTTACTATGCACGTTAACTCTGGGATGACCTTGGGGAGGCCCTTAACGGGTAGAAGTTGGAATAGAACCCAAGTAACTGGGATGAGAGCCCATCGCTCTGGCTATTAAGCTGCCTCTTGTTGTATTCATGGTCTTTACAGGGCTTCTTTGTAATACTGTACACTGAATATATTTTATTCAAGGTTTTTTGGCAGAAAGGTGTCAAAGTGCATGTCAAACTGGGATTTAATCATTAACATCCATTGTGAAGTTTGGTGTGCACAATGTCATTGCGAGTTCCATCTTCTCTTCCTGGAGTTTACAATGACGCATCAATAAGTGCTTGCTTATGTAATAAAGCTGTCTGCAGTCACTTGAAGATCTGAGATTCCAGCTAAATGAAGCAACAAAGTTAGTGAGTGTGTAATAACGAAGCACAATTTGATGGCTTCTGTGACAAACTAGCTCGGTTACCAATGTGTATTGCCTAACACATGGTTTCAGGATACCTATGGAAGACCTATTGGAGTACTGAATGCCAATGCAAGTACTAACTACCCATGTACAGTACTGTTTCATAATAATACCTAATTTTACAATGCAGCTGGTATGTCAATAGATTATAGGTGAAAAGGTAAAATGTTGAGATGCTAGTTCCAAAGCAAAGAAACACTTGGATATTTTTAATGTGACGTCTTGAAAAAAAAAATCACGCACTCTGGCTAAGCTGACACACGTCTTAAGCCTTGGCAACTGCAGCCTAGCGAGTTGATGTGTGCCCAGGGCATGTTAATGTTGGGCAAGTTGGCTATAATGGGGCAAAGAGCATAAATATGTCACATCAATACAAAACGTCGGAAGATTTTGAATTACAATGTGGGTTTTGTTTAACACTGCTCTCAAGGTCATTTAACTGCACATTTCCCAATGCAAATATATACGGTAGTAAAAAGAGCATGCCTTATTGTACAGTCACTATGGTTTTACACAGACTGTTTAAAACCCGAACAGATCTTGCTATGTGAACCAATATATATTTTAAATAAACATGCGCATGCAAATACTCGAAGTATTCACACTGTGCACATTGATTAATTAACTACACTCATAAAAATTTAATTACGGTCCTGTGTTTTTGACCTGCATGTTTCAATGATGATTTGTCAGACATTCTAGGCACAACAAGAATAGCCATCGTTACATGGAGGCCTTCGACGATATCCAGGCACTGCACTGCAAGCCTATCCAATGGATGCAATTTAAAAGGGGATTCCAAGACATCGTGATGACTAAAACATTCTAAATAAATATCTAACTTATTAAAATATTTGTGTACAATTACCAGTGCCATTACTTTCAATGAAGCGCCTTTTGTAAATCTACGAGAGCGGAGAAAAAACACAACTTGTCCCTTTGTTTCATGAGACCCAAGGGCGGGCACAACCACCGATTTATCGGATTGACCTGAAAGTGATTTACTGAAAATAACATTGCAATTAAAACACATTATAATCAGATACCATGACACCAATAGTAATTATTACTTAGTGTAATGAAAGGAAATAGGTGCAGATGTGTGATGATAGTTGATGCATTTAAAATGCGTGTTGTGTATAATATCTACCTGAATTGGTGCAGTGCTGAAACGGATCTTGCGATTAGGTTGGGTCTCTTCATCAGACAGCCCCTGCATTTCCCTGTAATTTCCAGCTTCTGTGTAATCTGCACACATTCCCTCACAGCTGACATCTCCAATAGGAGTGATGACAGCTTCATCTTCAAAAGCAACTTTTATTCCTCTCGCGTGATCCAATGATGTCTCATTGTCATTGACGTTCAGGCTGATATCATCATTCGCCAATTTTTCATTCTCCACTTGACTATAAAACACTTTGGTTACATTTTGCGGAGCTAATAAGACTTTCTCATTTCCAGAATGTTGTGCAGTGCTCGTCAAACTGTCATGTTCAATTGCTGGTACATCACCTTGTAACTTGACCAATGCTGCTTTAAAGACATCTCCTTCTGGAATAACTGCAATATTCTGGTCATGAGATTCCACATTTATATTCAATGATGGTGCACAGTTAACTTCAATATTCCGGGAAACTTGCTGAGGGCTCTTTTGTATTGCGTTCTCCAGTTTTATAACCTGAAGTATGCTATTGGCATGGCCTTTGGAAGGGACAAACTGCTGTGACTCCACTTCATTCTGGTCTACTCCAGGAAGAAACACCAGCCTGTCTGAGATCTGCACAGAGATGTGATTCTGACAGGGATTATCAGAAGAATCCATGCCACTGTGGACCTCGTCTAGGCTGTTCCGTGAAAGATGAGACAATTCCCCGGCTTTATCAAATACGTCAGGTCTGTCACTGTCCACCGAATGGCCTTCATCTCGTCTCGGAATCGTATTAACCAAGGCCTCCACAGCACGTACTGAGCTGCTGTTGCCCGGCTCAAAGACGGCAGCCAATTGGCTCACAGTGGGGGACACCGCAGACTCCGTGCAGGGACTGCAGGTGAGAACGCTGTCGAGAGACTCTGTGCTGCCCTTGCAGCTGCCCACTGACAGGACGCTGTCCCTAGAGCCCTTGTGCTCTTTGCGGGGCAGGGACGACGAGGCGGAGAAGAAAGACGTCGGGGGGGACGGCCGGCCCGTGTCGTCGCTGCCCTGCCGCGGAAGACTTCGCTCGAAGATTTTGCGCACCTCGGTGATGCGGCCCGACAGGCTGGCCGCACCGTCGTGCTCCGTCTGCTGTCCCTCGGGGGCCGTGCGTACGACCTTCTCCCGCAGCCGTCCCTCTCGCCAGCCCGGGGAGCCTCCTCCACCTCGCGTCGGGGATGGTGGGGGCGCCGTGAACTGGCGCGCCTTCTGTTTCACAGACACGGGCTGCTGCTGGCTCCTCTTGGAGGATCCCTGCTGCTGCTCTGCACCATCCTCGTTGCCCTGTTGGCTGCCTTGCAGCAGCATGGTCTTAATGCGGCTCACGTTGGTGCCGTACTTGCGGTCTCGTCGTCCGGTGGCCAAGGATGAGGCCGAGAGACCCCGCTCATTGCCGGCTCGGTCAGATCCGACTGTCACCAAGGGATTAACCCTGCTACCTGCTGGGGTGCGGCTGCCCATCTCGGTGTGGTTGAAGGTCCGCTTGAGTGCCTGGAACTCGGCTCGGTAGGCGATCCGGTGCGGAGATGCGCTGCGTAGCTGTGGTGCCACCTGCACCTGCTGCGTCACCTGCTGCACCTTCATTACATCGCTCGCTGCAGCGTCTGCCTTCATCATGGTCACTGTTCGCAGCGTACGTGAGCGTCCACTGTGTTCCACAACAACGGTTATCGGCAGGGAACCCGGATTGGATTTGTGCAGGACGCACCGCTGTTTTGCATAGGATTTGTACCACTTGATTAATCCAGGTCGAATAAGCAACCCAGAAAAACTGATGGGTGCAGCAGGCTTGGCGTGTCGCTGCGATGTGTCCCACGAAGAAATCTAAAACATAATTAAAATAATGAACGATCAATTCAATAAATGGGTGAAACAAGGAATTATAATCAATGCCTAGATCCGTTAAGCAAACAATTAATTGAAAGGCTCATGATTTGACAATAGAATGAATTAATGAAGGGGCCAATGGGACTAATGAACCGGTGAATTATGAGTGAACGTGGAGGAATCGCTCACTGTGAATGACAATACAACCAGAGCGTGACTCCTTCACGCCGGGTCTACTCTGTGAAGACTCTTACAGGTCTCGTTCAGCAATTGTCCCACTAACACGTTTAATAGTGTCTGACCGAGCTGATATATCCGTGTCTTACCAGCCTAGACAAAGCGCTCTCCCAGTCGTGGCACACGTTATTATATACAAACCACACAGCGTTATTCACCAAGCCCTCCTCTCTACACGAGCTGTCAATCATCACATTCATCATCGCGGGGCAGTAAATACGCCGACTCAACTCAATTAACATTCGGGTCAACGTCGCGCGTGCGTCTTGGACAATCATCTCAGCCGCAGAGTCATTTTTGTTACTAACAACACTACGTATAACAATCGCACTAGACAGTAGTAGTAGCAACAACAATACTGTAGCGAATCAAGTGGCTAGCGATGGGTAATTCGAGCGTTGAAGACACAGGGACCCCCCCCCGCCCCCCACGGCTCAGCTGTCCCGTGTCGATCATTGCGGTCACTCCACCCAGCAGAGAGACAGACAGACAGAGACACAGAGCTACCATCACGAACGAAGGGCGCTTATCGTCGTCCACGTGAACGCCACTAACCCGTGTCTCCTTATCGTTCGTGACCGCCTGATAGACGACGGGACGCCGCTCCAGCACAGACACCACGGCGATGCCGACCAGACGAGGACGGACACCCGGCAGGTAGCGACAGGCGGAGGAGGAGGAGGAGGAGGACGACACCGAGCCTAGACTGATAGACAAGACGAGGACGGACACCCGGCAGGTAGCGACAGGAGGAGGACGACGACGACGACACCGAAGCCCGAGCCGCCGTCAGGAGACGCCTCCCGTCGCCGAAGACGCCGCGCTCAGCACCACGTCCATGGCACCACCTCCTCCTCCTCCCCCCGTCCCTCTCCTCTCTCTCTCTCTCCGTCGTCTCGTCCTGCCCCAGCGATTACCGTTCGGGGTAACGATTGCGACTGTAATTTTGTAAAAATAAAAAGAGTAAAGTGCTACATAGCGGCGGTGGTGTTTTTCGTGTTACGATGAAGGTGTCGCCGGCTCCATGGCGACCCGCATTGCTGGGGTAGCAGCGGCTCCGTGTGGTTAGGGGGGTGGTGGTGGTCTCCTCCTCTTCGTTGTTGTTGCTGTTGTTCCCCCTCTCCTTCCTCCTCCTCCTCCTGCTGCTGCTGCTGCTCTCTCCTCCCTCCCCGCCCTGGGCCCTTGCTGGAGCTGTCAGGCCAATGAGAGCCTTGCGAAGGGAATGAATGAGGGGGCCTCCAGCTGCGTGGTGTGTCGGTGGAGGGCTCGTGGGGGCGGGGGGCGGGGGCGGGGGGGGTGGCATTGTCCACGCTGTGGTCGTGATGGAGGGCATTCGGGATGGCATTCGGGATGGCATTCATAAAGCCATGCGGAGTGCGATTTAGGATGAGAAATACACGGCGTTGTTCACACAAAATGTCACGGCGGGCACTCGTGCAATGTGTAGTTGTGATGGAAGCTTTTGGGAACGTCACAGTGGAGAGAATTCTGCATCAGATGTGAATTAAATAGGGGCATTGTGAATGTGTCACGTTGGAGGAGGGTATTCATAATACCCTAACATCACGCGAAGTGGAGATGTGAATGTTTTTTTAATGGTATAGGCACGGCATTGTTCACACAAAATGCCACCCTCACGCAATGTGCAGTGATAGAGGGCATTGGGAATTTGTAACGATGGGGTAAATTGTTCACGCAATATTTCGTGATGAAAGGAATTCTTAATAGAATATGTAGATCTGGTGGAGGACAAAGGCAATTCACGTAATGATGGCAGAAGGTGTTGCTAATTTAACAACGTACAGTATATTAGGAGTATTGCGAATGCAATGATTGTAAAGGGGAATGAGAAAGCAAAGTGTGTCGATGGAGGCTATTAGCCTGCACGATGTAATGATAGTGGAGATATAATATGCAGTGGTGTAGGGAGCATTGTGCGTGTAATGGATAGTGGTGGTGGAAGTCATTTTGCATATGTAATTACGCTGGAGGGCATTGTAATCCAGTATATAGGTGATTCTGAAGGGCACTATTGATGTGTGGGGGGTGGAGGGTGGCCATTGAGGAGGGCAAGTGTGTCCCTGGAGGGGCCCATGCCCGTCTGTCGTCGTCTTGGCCTCGCAAGCTGCACGGGTCTTTGTTGTTTTGGTCCCGGGTCTCACACTCGCTGTTACTGACAGGGGAGGGAGTCTCCGCTTCGTTAACCGAGAACACAAATTATTCAATAATTGCACTCATGCCCATTGCAGTGTACATTTGCGCATTTGTGTTTTTTTTATCCGCATGTATTCCGTGTTCTGTTGTATGTTGCTTACGTGTGCCCGTGTTTATGTGTATGCCTCAGGCAATATGCAAAACATCCTGATCGTGAGAAACCCGAAAAGGTCACATAAGTGGGCTGTGATCGATAACACTTAATTCCTATTGAACGTTCCTTTGTTTTTCCACGTGAAATAATTATATTGCAGTTTCTCTCGGTCTTGCTGGAGACACACGCACACACAAAACAGACTTTAAATCGTGGTTAAACTTGCTTTCTTTTTTTTCTCCGGGTGGACCTCCCCCTCCCCATTGAGATGAGGACTGCCGAGAGAGATGCTTTTGGTGAAGGGTGCAGGGAACGGTGACACCTTGAGAGAGCGTGTGAGGTCAAGTGGAACTCTCGTGCCAGCATTGCACACTGCAACTGTACAACGGTTGTGGAGGCGACCAAAGGTTACTTTCTGTGCAATGATGCCCATGGAAATAATGCATTGCACCACCGCGTGCTGTACATAATTCCTGAAAATGTTGGGACTACTGTCATACTTAAACCTACCTGCCTTATACATAGCAGTTTAAGTTACTTACCCGTAGTAAGCTCATATTCCGTGAAAACGAGGTGGCCACGTGAATATACCCCGTGTCCCGCATTAATGACCACACGGCTTCTTTGAGTTCCGTCTTCACTTTGTTGCAGGTGCAATTCAAAAGACAAGCAGGGTTTATTGTTCAGAATAATTAGCTCATGTGGTTAATCAATTCAGGGTGAAACAATAGCAACACATCACTGCCTTAAGTTTAAAGTTCACCCACTTGAGGCGTGCCACACATTACAGGTGTGTGTGTGTGTGTAAATAGTGTGCAATATTTGCAAACTGATTTTGTGCGTTGACCCTGAACCCTATAGTAATTTAGTTTTTGAACGAAGATACCTGTGATTTCCAATACACAGATTATGCAATAACAAGATGGGGTTTTTTGCCAAAACTGATGCACATTTATCCTGGTGTTAATTCGCACAATTAACGTTTACGGGTACGAATTTCGTATCGTGTTGACTCTATAAATTGGCTTTTGATGTGCAGGTGTACAGTATACTGTATATGTGCTTTCTTGAGCAGGGGGACCTTGCGGGCGCTGCAGGATTTCAGTCCTTCATGGCGTAGTGTGTTACCAACTGTTTTCTTGGTGACTATGGTCCCAGCTGCCTTGAGATCATTGACAAGATCATCCCGTGTAGTTCTGGGCTGATTCCTCACCGTTCTCATGATTGTTGCAACTCCACGAGGTGAGATCTTGCATGGAGCCCCAGGCCGAGGGAGATTGACAGTTCTTTTGTGTTTCTTCCATTTGTGAATAATCGCACCAACTGTTGTCACCTTCTCACCAAGTTGCTTGGCGATGGTCTTGTAGCCCATTCGAGCCTTGTGTAGGTCTACAATGGTGTCCCTGACATCCTTGGAGAGCTCTTTGGTCTTGGCCATGGTGGAGAGTTTGGAATCTGATTGATTGATTGTTTCTGTGAACAGGTGTCTTTTATACACTCCCCCTTTAAGAGTGTGCTCCTAATCTCAGCTCGTTACCTGTATAAAGACACCTGGGAGCCAGAAATCTTTCTGATTGAGAGGGGGTCAAATACTTATTTCCCTCATTAAAATGCAAATCAATTTATAACATTTTTGACATGCGTTTTTCTGCATTTTTTGTTGTTGTTATTCTGTCTCTCACTGTTCAAATAAACCTACCATTAAATTATAGACTGATCATTTTTTTGTCAGTGGGCAAAAGTACAAAATCAGCAGGGGATCAAATACTTTTTTCCCTCACTGTATGTGTAAATAAGTAGTGTGAGCAACCGTGAGAGGGCATACAGAGGGAGGTACGAGCGAGTTGACAGCAGAGGATGATGTCATGTCACAGGTGCTGTAAGGGGGTACCTTCGGGAACAAAGGCTGGTCCGAGTTAGAGGGAGGAGCCGCCCAAGGGGTACTTAAAGGGGAACCCGTGACGAGGGCGGGGTCGTTGTGGGAGCCTGAAGTAAGGATCGGCTGCAGGAGGTATCTCCCACTCGTCGCCGGACGGTGTTGGCTGAACACCCGTCCAGGGCAGACGAGTGGGAGAGCCAAGGGGATAGCTGAGAGTAGGGCTCCAAGTATTCAGTGAGGATCGGCTGAGAGAGAGTGGGTTCTCTCTTCGTTGCCGGGCGGTGTTGGATGAGCCCCCGCCCCGGCCCAAGTGAGAGAGCCCAAGGGATAGCCGAGGGTAGGACGACAGTGTTCGGGGGTCCAGGGTAACGACCAAGAATAGAGAGCACCTACCCCTGGTGTGAACTTGAGTGCTGAATGTAAGTGTTTAATAAACGGAAACAGCCCTTATAGTAAATAATTTCTCCACGTGGTTTTACTATACAACAACTGGTGTGGGAAGTGTCCGAAAACCTTCATCGCCATGCGGAAGAAGCGGAAGAACCCACCTGTTGTGAGATCAGACGACGAGAACAGCACGGAAGAGGTCCCCACAATGCCCCCGAAGTCCGGGGCCCCGGAGATGCGCCCCATCGAACTCAGGCAACCGGTGCAGGAGGAGGTGGCTGCCGCGGCCGGACACTCACAACCGCCGGAGAGCTGGCAGCTTCTCACCAGCCAGTTCGGCCAGCTGCTGCAGTCAAGCGCGCGCCTCGTCTCCCTGATGTCGGAGGTGGGAGCCCAGCCGCACGCACCCACACGTTATTGGAGCGGGAACGGGCGTTTCCCGCCATTTCTCCTCCTGCCACGTTCGAAATTGGTGCCATCTTCTCAACGGATTACACTACTTTTCGCAGACTTCATGCTTGGTGGGTGCCCTGACGGTCATGTCCAAGGACCAGGAGCCCTTTTTGCAGATTCTGAACGCGGGGCCTTCGAATGTAGTTGTGCCGGCCGGCACCATTTTGGCGCATTCAACCCCAGCTCTCCTGCCAGAAGACGCCATGCCTGTTGCAGGATGGGGAATCCGACGATTCGTGGATCGACAGACTTTGCCAGGAAAATGCGCTCTTATCCCTCGAGGAGCGACAGTGACTTCGCGCGCTTATTGAAGGATTCTCCGATGTCTTTAGTCACAGCAAATTCGATATCGGACACATGTCCCTACTATCGCACCACATAGACACAGGGAATTCACCTCCCATTCGGTTGAACTCCGATCGCCTTAGCCCTAGAAAGATCATGTCCACTTGGCCGTTGATGAGATGTTGGCGGCGGACATCATCTCTCCCTCTAATAGTCATTGGGGTGCCCCCATTGTGTTAGTCAAGAAACGGGATGAGAGTCATCGTTTCTGCATTGACTTTCATAAATTAAACAAGATTTCAGTGGCTGATGCCTATCCCCTTCCTCTCATGGACGATTCACTTGACGCCCTCTTGGGTGTGCGGTTCTTTTCGACCCTAGATTTGCTTTCGGGCTAGATGAGGTCTCCAAACCAAAGACCGCGTTCCACACACCCCAGGGGCTGTTCCAATTCAATCGGCTTCCTATGGGCCTCCACTTGGCCCCGGCCACCTTCCAATGCCTCATGGAGATAGTCTTGGCAGGACTACAGTGGGAATCTTGTTTAATATATTTGGACGATGTCATAGTTTTCAGCCGCACGTTTGGCGAACACTTGCATCGAATTGAGTGCGTCTTCGTCAAAGTGCGTGCTGCTGGCCTGAAATTCAAACCCCAAAAGTGCCATTTGCTGCAACCATCGGTGAAGTACTTGGGCCATGTGGTCAGTGCGTCAGGTGTCGCCACGGATCCAGAAAAAACTGCTTGCGTCCTTGCATGGCCAACCCCCACATCTGTCGCGAAGGTTCGCAGTTTCGTTGGCTTTGCCTCATATTA